AAAAGGAGGTGGAAAAGAAAATAAAGAAAAGAAAAGACGAGAAAGGGAAGACGAAGAATGAAAGAGAGAAAAGATATAGAGAGCGTGAAGAAGAGAAAGAGGGAAAGAGAAGAAGGTGGTCGGAGTTCTACCTCTCTCCTACCTTTCTTATCCCTCCTCTTCCCCCTTAAAACAAACGCCACCCAAAGAACCCATCCCCATCCCTCTTGCAACCTCCTCTCCATCCCTTCCCTCTCCTTTCCATCCCCTCTCCCTCTCCTCTCCTCAAAGATCTTCCATCCTTCCCCTCACCCCAACAATCCTCCTAATCCCTCCCCGCTCCCTTTCCTCTTCCCCCATTCCCTATTCCCTCCCCATCTCTCCCCTCTCCCTTTCCCCATCCCTAACAACCCTCCCCTCTCCTTCCTCCCATCCCCAACAACCCTCCCTCTCATTTTCCCACCCCCAACAACCCTCCTTCTCCTTCCTCCCTCCCCTCCCCTCCCTCCCCATCCCTCTCCTTCCTCACCATCCCTCTCCTTTTCCCCATCCCCAACAACCTTCCCCTCTTACTTTCCCCACCCCTAACAACACTCCACTTTCCTTCCTCCCCTTCCCCAACCAACACTCCCCTGTGCTTCCTCCCATCCCTCTCTCTTCCCCTCCATCCCCTTTCCCTTCCCCCAATCCCCAACAACCCTCTCACCTCTCCTTCCTCTCCATCCTTCCTCCCTTCCTCTCCCTCCTCCCTCCCTTTTCCCCCACCCCGAGAACCTTCCCCTCTCCTTCCTCCCCTTTTCCCTCTCCCTTTCCCCACCTCCAAACACCGTTCCTATCCCTCCCCTCTCCTTCCCTCTCTTTCCTCCCCATCCCTCTCCCTCCCCTCTCCCCTCTCATCCTTCCCATCCCTCTCCCTCCTCCCACCTTCAACCACCCCTCTCCCAACAGCCCCAGCCCCCCTGAAGCCCCCCAAACCAGCCCCCCCCCCTGAAGCCCCCAACCAGCCCCCTTTCCCCTGAAGCCCCCCAACGCTGATGGATTATCGAGGCCAAACTTCAATCTGGTGGTGTAAACAGATCTATCTAAGTCCCCGGGAACAGAGAGGTCGCCAGAGCTTTCCTAGATTTATGAATTTTCCTTGATTTATGACCCCGAGGGAAAATCTATGGGGTACTCCGGCATTTTTCCCTTCCGTCGTCAGAGGGTTTTTTTTCTTTCTTTTCTTTTTTATCTTGTCTTGTTCTTCGGGTTTTTTCTTTGTTTCTTTTGTCGTTTTTAGTTCTTTTTTTGTCTTGTTTTTTTTTTTTTTTTTTTTCGTTTTTAGTTCGTCTTCTCGGGATGATGTTTTGTCTTTTATTTTTAAGGTTGTTGTTTTTCTTTTTGGTTTTAGATTTTATATGTGAATGTTTTGTTGTTTCTGTGTTATTGCTTGTATCGTTTGTATATAGATTATTATTTTTTCCTTTTTTTCAATGCTGCTTCGTCTTTTTTGTTTGTTTGTTTGTCGAACTTATTTTTTATTTTTTTATTATTATTATTTTTTTAGCTCGTTTTGCTTTGCTTAGGCAATTGTTTCTTTTCTTTTCAGGTCTTTTTTATTATTCTTATCTCTTTCTTTCGTTTTATTTTTTTCTCTTTTTATGTTTCGTTGTCGTTAATTTATCTTTCTGTGTTTCTTTTTTATGTTTTATCATTACTTTACCCTTTTTCAACCTTTAATTACTTTTCATTAATTATTATCTTCATTTGTCTTTTTTCAAAGTTTCTCGATTTTCCTATTTTATTATTTACATATATCTAATATTATACTATCAATCAATTATTTTCCTTTTCTCCTTTTACTACATTTTTTCCTTTCATTACACACGTTTTTTTTTTTTTTTTCTTCTTTTTTAAAGAGTTGGTTATAAATCACGTCTGTGTTTGTTCATTGTTCTTAGCTCAATTCTTTTTCTTTCTTTCTTTCTTTCTTTTTTTGTCTCTTCTGTCTGAGTTCTTATTTCTTATTTTATTTTGTACTACTTATTTATTTTTTGATGTACTGGATCTAATTCATGAATCTCTTTTTTACCATTTTAGTGTGTGTAAGTCACGCATTTGTCTGTGTTTTGTTTCGTTTGCATTTTGGTGGACATTGAATAGATGCTTTGCTTTGGATGCAACATATTGAATGACTAAGTTATATATAGTTTTCCTATCCTCTCCTCTCTCTCTCTCTCTCTCTCTCTCTCTCTTCTCTCTCTCTCTCTCTCTCTCTCTCTCTCTCTCTCTCTCTCTCTCTCTCTCTCTCTCTCTCTCTCTTGCACTCTCTCTCTCTTCACTACGACCTCTCTTCCCCCACCCCCAGATCTCCTCTCCTTCCCCTATTGTGTGGCTCCCCCTTTCTCTCGGATCTCTTTTCTCTTATTTTCTATCTTCCTTCCCCCTTCCCTTTCTCCTACCGTTCTCTCCTGCTTTCCTCCCTTTTTTTCTCTCTCCCTTCTTCTCTCCTTCTTTTCCAATTTCTCTCCTGCATCCCTTACAAATACACTTTTCTCATTTTCTATCCTTTATATCTCCCTCCTCTCTCTCCCTCCCTTCCCTCTCCACTTCCTTCCCTATTTCTCCTGTCCTGCGCCTACTCGCTTACCTATCTCTTCTACTTTCTATCCCTCCTGCTCCCATTTCCTTCCTGTAATCCTCCCTTCAATCTCCTTACCCTTCTCTTAACTTCTTCTGCTTACNTGTGTGTGTGTGTGTGTGTGTGTTTCCCTATGCATATGTAAACTTCAGACTGTGATGCAAACTACGGTATGCTAATTAATTGATTTTGAATAATGTTTGCGCTTGTTAGATTATATTTGCATTTGGTAAAATGTGTAACTGCTGATATATTTATTTACTTGCTAATCATTTATCTGTTAATTAACACATTCATGTTTTTTATATATTGTAGGTAGGTTCTTGACTCAGGTAGTTATTGTTGCTTGTTATAAATCTAACTTTGAATACTCATAAACGCAGTATATTACGTTACATATACACATGTATAAATTTGTGAATACACAAACAGGCATATGTACACGTGCATGTCTAATCCTACGTACATATGTGTTATATCATACGTATACTTTGGTTGTTTAATCTATTCACTGTTAACGTCACAAGTGAACGAAGGGGAATAAAATGAACAACCAGGTAAATTACATTTTCAATGTTTTAGAGCGTTTTTGTTTTTATTTTGTTTTACTGCTGTTATTATATTGTTAAAACATGCTTTATATTTCAATGCCCAATAATGTAATTCAAAATTTGTGTGTGTAATGGCGGTACCTAAAGGTGGATCTTTCATTTAAGAAAATAAATGTAACAAGGAGGAACGACGTAACGTGCAGCATGATCTGTAGTAATAACAAAATCGTACCGTGACATCGCGCATCGGTTGGCAGCCCTGGCGCAGATGGTCTTGACGTCACGGTCGACACACGCGGTTCGGCTGTGACTGCGGTGTCGGGGTTTTCACAGTTGCTTTGCTGGGCGGGTGTTGGGAGGAGGGGAGCGCATGCATTGATTGTCGCGCTGTGGGTCAAACGTGGATTTAAGGACTTAAGGAGCAGGATGAAGATTGTAGCAGCGACTCCACCTCCCTCACAGCCTGTGAGCGGACTTAAGCTAGGGATCGTGAGGCTTGGAAGAGCGGCAGGAAAGGTAAGCATTTGACGTGGGAATATTGAGCGGTGTGTGAGGGTGGGTGTACTGGTAGTGCAGAGGGATGTCTGGTTCGGCGAAAACCTGCATGCCGGCACACACTGATGGCATGGCACAGGGTTTTAGTTTGGTCAGCTGGTCCTCACGGAAGGAAACATTAAACACAAAAAAGTGTTTGAGGGTTACGTAAAGATACCACAGCGAGAATGTTTATAGGCAGTGTTTGAAACGTGTCTCTCCAAAATACCCTCGGTTTCATCTCTCGTACATTGTGCAGGTAACTTTCAAATTATAGAGTCTGGTGTTGAGAACCCAATGATGCTAAGATTTAATTAATTCATGTGATGATTGTCCATATAGATCCCCCTCCCCCGATCAAACCTACTCGCACGCCAGCACACAAGGGAAATCGTATGATACAAAGGTTCGACGACTTTCGTTTTGTGCCATTGTTCGCTGTAGTAATTCCTGTTCTTTCTGGGGTATGAGTAGCTTGCGTATCGCATTTGCTTTATAGCTTGCTTGTTTCAAATGCATCCGGGTAGTGTTATCGTATTGACTTTTAGATCATGTCTTTCTTGTCATACTTGCCATTTATTACTTATTCAAATGATCATTTCCTGTCTTCCGTAGTAGCGAATAGCAGTATCTACGGTATTTCCTATCGCAAAATAGAGAGTTCTCCACTGCCAACTTGTTTTTTTAAATTACAAATCATACTCATGATATCCTGAAATGCACGCAAAACAAGTCATGTATCACAAAAATTAAATTTCCAAGTACACGTTTGCCTTGCATTACACATACAAGTAAGCTTGTTCTGTGAACCTGCCGTTCATCTCGTATTTTTTATTCATGCACTTTGGTTATTTCTGTTATACATATCCTTAAAATTATATAGTGGTTTGGTTTGATAGTTTTTTGTGAGCAGTATGCCTAACATAAAAGAGTTTTGGTTTTTCTCTCTGATATTCGCTCTCTCTCTCTCTCTCTCTCCCTCTCTCTCCCTCTCTTTCCCTCTCTCTCCCTCTCTCTCCCTCTCTCTCCCTCTCTCTCCCTCT